CCCTGGCTTCAATCTTCAGCCAAAGGTTGCTGCCTATCACCAAGGAGCCTGCAGCTGCCCTGGATACACAGGGCTCAGCATGCTCTGCATTTGACAGCTTTATCTGAGCTGACAGCACTGCTCTGAGCATCCTCAGGAAGTGTCTGGACAATCAGCAGCCCCTCCGGCTTTTCAAACCTCAGAGTGCAGCAGCTCAGGTTCACCACAAGCCCCACACAGAACACAGGCAGCCTGCCGCAGCTATGGGCCTATGCCTACACACAGCACAGGGGAGGCTGGGCTTCAAGGGACCTGGCCCTGCACGTGCTCTCCTAGCTTGGAGGAGAGGAAGGAAGGACGAAGAGTGGAAGGAGAGAGGAAAGAGGAAGGGGAGAGAAGGGAAGGAGGAAAGAACATCAGCTTCGCACGCTGTGTCTCTTGAAGCTGCAGCACAACCTGACACTGTTACCTGACTGTGGGGTGGTGTCCACAGAGACAAAGAAGGAAACTTCCAACAGAGGATGAGGGCTGAAGCAGGTTTATTTCGAAGCTGTAAAGGCAGGGAAGTAGCGCTCCTGCTAGCCAGCCAGTGGAGATTCTGAGTGGGAAACCACTCAGGGCTCTTTGTCTAAGAGTTCTAGGGGTTTGCAGGGAATCTAGCCATTATGTAAGCAGCATAATCTCTAGCCTATAGAAGGATACACATTTTAGGGTCCAATCTATGCAGTGTCCACACAGGGCCCACCTAGCCATGCTCTGGGAACATCTGGGACACCCAAAGGACGTCTGAAAAAATGTTTTATAAGAACCCCACAGGGCTGGGCTCAGCCAACTGCGCTGTGGGGCCACAGTCCTGACTGCCTAGTAGAATCCTAATCTCAGCGCACCGCTTCCTGTTACAATAATACCACCTCCTCTAAGGTGGGGAAGCAGGTGCAGGATGCAGAGAAGAATGACAGACTGCTCTGTAATGTTTTCATTTGGAATCTCCTGGCATGATTCTTTTATGACTTTTTTTTCAGGGGCAATTAGCTTGGTTGGTTAGTTGAGTTTTGCTTTTTTTTTTTTTTTTTTTTGGTACTAGAAATCAAACTTAAAACCTTGTGCTTGCCAGACAGGCATTGCTGTGCCACTGAGCTATATCCCTAGCCTTTGGGGCTGTTTTGGTTTTTTTGTTTGTTTGTTTGTTTTGTGGAACCGGGGATTGAACTCAGGGCTTTATGCTTGCCAGGCAAGTGCTTGTTCTACTGAGCCATCTCCCTGGCCCCATGCTTTGTTTCTTGAGGCAAGGTTTCATTCTGTAGTTCGGGCTGGCCTTGAACTCAGCAATTCTCCTTCCTCAGCCTCCTGCGTGCTGGGATTACAAGCGTTCATCACCACTAGCTAGTCTCCACTGGATACCTGTGTGGAGTTCTTGTGACTCGTGAGGACATTTTCTTGCATAACCCTTTGTAAAGAATCAGATAGCAGATGTTTAGGGCTTTGTGCATCTCTATGGCAACCAGTCACTTCTCTACTAGGTGTGGTAGTGTTCTAATAAATCTTTATTTACAAAATAGAAGCCAGGTATGGTGGCACACATCTGTCATCCCAGCACTTCGGAAGCTGAGATAGGAGAATCACAAGTTTGAGGCCAGCCTGGGCTATGTAGTGACCTCAAGGCCAGCCTGAACTACATAGCAAAATACCATCTAAAAAAAACCCACAGGGCTGGGGAGATGGCTCAGTGGAATAAGCGCTTTCCTGGCAAGCGCATGGACCTGAGTTCAATCCCCGGTTCCACAAAAAAAAACAAAAAAAAAACCACAAACACAAAAACAAAAAGTAGGAGGGGTTTAGCCTGTGGACAGTTTGTGGGAGGAAAGGGACAGCTGCTTTAGTTTCCTTTGAACAATAAAAAAATGTATACTCAGGCCAGGGATATAGCCGCAACATCCTGAGTTTGATTCCCAGTGCCCAAAAAAATTGTATACTCATGTTGTTTACTTTTTCACTCTTAAAGAGGTTTAAATAAATTTCCTTCCAACCAAAATTAGGAGTTATACTTAGGAAGGTTGGGAAAGAGATGGGTTTAGCACATGAAGGGCCCTGTGTTTGACTTCTAGCGCTGAAAACAAAATGCAACATAAGAAAAATGATAATCACTTAGAAATACAAATGTATTACAAAAGTCAGGCACAGCAGCACACCTATCATCCCAGCTACTTAGGAAGTAAGAACATTGCTCAAGTTCAGGAATGTGAGGCCAGCCTGGGCATCCGACTGAGACTCTGACAAAAAAAACCAAGTCATAAAAGACTTGAGCATAGTCTAGCATAGCCCTTCTTGTGTGGTGTGGCAGAGACTTTGGGGTTGGAAGTTGAGCTTTCCCTTGCCTCCAGACATTAAGGCAATGTGAGTCTGCAAATTCACTGGGAAGCAGCTACCCCAAGAATGCAGGTCATTTAATTTAAATATTGTTCACTTACCATTAAATCCTCTTCAAAATTAACCCTGATGCCAAGTAGTCTTGTCACCCTGGCCTCTGCTGTAATAATGAGCTTGAGGTCGTTTCTGGTAATAGCGCTGACTCCTGGGCCTGCAGACATGAGAATAACTAAGCACAGGAGGAGCTGGGGTGGTGGCGCACACCTGTCAGCCCAGCACTCAGGAGACTGAGGCAGGAGGATTTCTTTGAGTTTAAGGCCAGCCTGGAATACACAGTGAGACACACACACTACAAATCAACCATAAAAGCAAGGTGACAGCCTGAATCTTTGCCTTCATTTTGCTACCTTAAACTTAGGGGGAGGGGCGGTTCTTGCACACACGTGTTGATCATTTTAGGAACGCTGATCTCAGCTGCTAATCCCATTCAAGGCAGAGAAAACCAAGTGTGGCTATCTCGAAGATAGTCAGGGATACCCAATTCACAGGCTTTCAACAGCCAGCTTTTTCACCACATCCTGGTCCAGGCCATCAGTCTTCATGCACCGCCTGGAAGGTCTAAGCAACTCCATCCTGCCTTTTTGATTGTTTTGAGATAGGGTCTAGCACTGTAATTCAGGCTGGCCTCCAACTCCCACTGCTCCTGCCTCCGCCTCCTGAGTGCTAGGATCACCCCATGCCCATCTTGCCTTTTTTACATATTTAGTGCAGGGTCTACAGGGTCTCACTACACAGCTCAGACTCGTAGTGATACTCCTGTTTTCAGCTTCTCAAGCGCTGGGATTACAGGCACACACCACCACGCCCAGGCTCCATCATGCCTTTCTGATCCCCCACATCATTCTTGGACTCAAGAGCCACAGTTCTCTCTGGTGACCATCTAGAGCTGTGTAGAAATTCTCCAGGTGACCGTGCTCCCCACTCCTGCCACCTCATGAAATAAAATCAAGCAGACCTCAGTGCTGTAGTGACTGTGACTGTCCCTGCTTGTCACCTTGCCCCATACCATCTTGGAGCTCTTACAGGCCCTCTCCTTCCAGAGAGCTCTGCTGAACACATCCTTCCCGTGCCTTCTCACTTTTCCCACTTGATTTTGGGGTGCGTGGGCAGACATGGTTTGTGGAGACTCCTCACACCCAGGCCCTCGCTGGGCAGGGACTCAGCAACAGTGCAGCCTGGAGATTACTTTCCTGCAGTGGTGGCCCAGCCTCCAGGAACTGCACTTTGTCGTTCTCCGGAAATGCTGCTGCCAGCACAGAACCAGAAGCGCAGCTCCCGCAAACAGAAGTAGTCAGGACCACGTAGAGCTTCACAAGAACTTCTTGTTCAAGAAAAACAAGAGGAATGCTTAAAATGTAACACTCAGCAGGCGTGCTGGCACACACCTGGAAGACCAGCACTCTGCGAGGCTGAGGCAGGAGGATCATGAGTGCAATCCCCATCTGGGAGACTTAGCAAGACTCTTTCTCAACATTCCCTGATTGATTGATTGAGTGACTGATTGATCAACCAATTGAAGTACTAGGAAGCGAAGCCAGTGCCTTTCCAACATGCTATGTCCCTAGCCCCCCCTTTTTCTTGAGACAAGTTCTCCATAATTTGCTAGTAATGGTAGGTCCTCCAGGGTGGAGAAGAACTTTCAACCTTCCTGCCTCAGTATTCCAGACACATTACTACAGGCCTGCATAATTTCAACTAGTTTCAACCACAGCCAGCCTGAACTACATAGCAAGACTCTGCCTCAAAAATAAATGTCTACCCAGCAAATACCTTTATGCCTCTTTAAAAAAGAAAAGTCAGACACAAAGGGCTACAGGTTGAGTGACTGCCTCACAGGAAACATGCACAGCAGGCAGATGGATGGGAGAACGAGCCAGTTGGCTGCCAGGAGCAATGACCTCAAAAGGCTGCAAGTGCCCCAGGGCTGCTGGCCCCACTAGCTGCATCCGGGTCTCACACACCGGTGCAGTGCGCAGGTCACCTCTGTGCTACATTAGGTTTGCCTTGATTCGAGACCCCAGGATCTGATGCTAACCCCAGATCTCAAGGTCTGCCTTTAGGCTGGGACTGTGGCAGGGGCCTTATTGGCCACCCTGTCTCAGAGGTGCTTGCCACAAACAGTAATGGTGAGAATCTGAGGGAATCCTGGCTCATACACAAACGTGTGAGCAGATTCCCAGTATCACAAGGGCTTCTTCAGCGTGTCCTTATTATTGTAATTATCATTCTGCCATCCTGGAGCTTCAACCTTGCCTATGTTGTCAGTTCAACTGGCTACATAGTGCACGAGCTGCACGCTGAGCTACATCCCCAGCCCGTTTTTCACTTTTTATTTTTGAGACAGGGTGCCCCCCTAAGTTGTCCATGCTGGACTCGAATTTGAGATCCTCCTGCCTCAGCCTCCTGGTTTGCTGCAATTCCAGGCATGCACCACCACCCTGGCTTTGAATACTCACTTCTGACCCAAAATGCCTTAGAGTGCATGCCCTGCCAGTCTTCCCACACAGCACCAGGGAAGGCCAGCAACTGGGCCCCCAGCCTGTCTTCTCCACTGAGAGGCTACACACGACACAAACACACTTTGTGCCCCACGGTGTTGTTGCAGAAAGTTTAATCAGCCATAGAAATCTGACTCCCAAGGCTACCAGGGTTGGGGGGCCCCCTGGTTGCTGGTTCCCAGAGGTAAGCATCCACAGTTTCACCAAGCCTCCACATCCGGTGCGGTGAACAGAGGGATTCTGGGTGTGTGCTGGCTTCTTCAAACAATTCCTTCTTCTTCACTATAATTTTGAATAAAGAAATGTAAGTGTTCACCTTCACAGACACAAGAGTGCCACCCTGCGAGCTAGACTAGCATGACTGCACACACTACGGTCTTGATCCAGCCTCAGGAGCACCCCATCTCCCTCAAACTTAACCCTCCCTCAAGTGTTTTGAGGTAGGGTCTCCCTATGTAGCCCAGGCTGACCTCAAACTCACGGCAACCCTCCTGCCTCAGCCTCCTAAGTGCAAGGATGACGGGCGACTGCCACCACACTTGACTTCCAATGTTAAGTCCTAATAGTTTCATGAGCTATTAGGTCCATCCTGATAACTAGGCTACACCAACAGAGCAGGCGCCCTGGGGACAAGTGTGGCCCCACCCATGTCCACTGGAAGAGCAGCGTGTCAAAGAGACACAGCACTTGAAGCTCCTGGCTTACCCTCACCAGCAGCCCTTCATTCAGACCTGGGCATCAGCTCAGCCATCCTGGGCTCCGCGAAGCTGTCATCACTTGAGTCACTGTATCTGTCACTGTAGAAAAGAGGAATTCACTCAGCCGGGTGTGAAACAAAACCTTGAACAACTACTCCATTATTTTTGGTGCTTGTTAGCTTGTTTGTCTTAGAAATAAGATCTTGCTGTGTAGTACAGCCTGGCTTTGAACTATGTAGTCCAGGCTGACCTGAACTCATGGTGAGCCTCCTGCTTCAGCCTCCAGAGCACCGGGATTACAGACATGAGCCCCCATGCCCGGCCTCAAACTCATATTTAAATGCAATAAAATTTCAGTGAAAATCCCTAAGGAACTTTTTTTAAAAACTCAAACTTCATCTTAACAATCCTTGTAAAGTTTACCAGAAGAATAGCAAAATGTATTTTTTAAATAATGAAAATAATAATAAAGGTTCCAGGACAAAAGACAAAAATTAGAAAAAAAAAAAAAAAAAGCCTGCTATGGCAGTATAGGCCTGTAATCCCAACACTCAAGCAGGCTGAGGCAGGAGAATCTCCAAAAGTTTGAGGCCAGTGTTAACTATCTAGGGAGACCCTGTCACAAAAGAGAGAGAGATAAAATTCATCTGTTGAACAAAATATAAATCACTGAAACAAAAACCAAATTCCTCAATTTGTAATTTACAGAGAGAAGAGTTAGGTCACCACCTTACACACTTCACACACATACACACCCACACCCCACACACACACCCACACTCCCACAGCCATGAGCTGTCAGCTCAAATCCACACAACAGCTCCCTAGGAAGACTTCGGGCAGGGTGCTGAGTGCAGAAGCCAGGAGAGTCAGCCCCCGGTGCACACACTCACAGCCACATGCAAGGATACAGCAGCCCAGCTCACCCTCTTTGGGGAGGGAACAGCTTCTGTTACCAAGGAAACGAGCATCACTCTGAGAAGGCACTAGGCACTGAGGTCTGCACAGCCAGCCACACAGCAGTGCCGAGTAGCCCATGTAGCAGGCAGTGGTCTAAACAACCAGTGCGGCACCAAAACTCAGTCTTCCCTTAATGTAACAACAAAGATCTCTAAAATAAAAGCCAATGGCAGCAAGCTTTGGAGGGCTGACACATGACTGATGAAGATGTGCATGAGTCATATTTCCCTCTTTTTTGACATTGAGTCTCAATGTATAGCCCAGGCTGGCCTCAAGGGTCCTCCTGCCTCGGCCTCCCGATTGCTGTGATTAAAGGCATGCTCATACACCTGGTGAGTCACCTTCACAAAGAGAAAAACTTTAAGGGGGAAAAGTGCCCCTTCACATCAAAGCCATCCCTCGGCACTGTCACTCCCGAGCAACAGGTGGCTTACCTTGAGAGTGGTGGGCTCATCTGCTGCAGGTAAGCATGCAAATTCCCCGTCGCTGCAAGCAGCAGACCCAAGTAAGGAGGTGAAGGTTTCATCGGCCTGGAAGAAAACTCAGGGTGGAACTGGACACCAACAAAATAGGGATGATCTGAAATGACAGCAGTCAGGGTGTCACTGAGCAGACAGAGACCCACAGGAAGGTCATCCTATCATTTACTGCAGAGACTCACCAGAGGCCAAGATGATTGAACCTGTGACTGTCCTAACTTCCACGATTCTTTTTCATCCTCTGATTCTTTTGACAGGGTATCACTATGTAGCCCAGCCTGACCTTGAACTGAGGGCAATCCTCCTGCCTCAGCTTGCCCATTCCTGGAATTGCAGGCGTGCATCACCACACCCAACTCAATTCTACACTGTAAATCATGTCTCACTCACTACATGATCTGGGAATATTATTTGTGGAAAGCAGCAGAGGGAGCAAAGGTAGGCAGAGGATTTGGAGTGTCAGCTTTTCCACTGAGTATTAACCACAGGACCACGGGGGCACTGCCACTCACATTTGAGGCTGGACAGCTTATTCCTTCTGATAATAGGTGCCGTTGATATGGCTGCTCATAGTGACTTTGTGTTTCTCCATTGAGCATGATGCAGGCTATTGGTTTGTAATTGATGGCTTCTATCAGATTAAGATAAGGACCATCTAATCCAATGCTCTGTACTGTTTTTATCATGAATGGGTGCTGGACTCTATCAAAAGCTTTTTCTGCATCCATTCAGATGATCACATCATTTTTTACCTTGGCTGCATAATAGGTGTCACATTTGATTTGTGTATACTGAACCATCCCTGCATCCCTGGGATAAATCCCGCTTGGTCATGGTGTAAAATCTTCTTCATGATTTGCTACATACTGTTTGCCCGTATCTTATTGAGGATTTTGGCATTTATGTTCAATAGGGAGGTCAGCCTATAATTTTCTTTCTTAGTTGGGTCTTTGTCCAGATTTGGTAGTAGAGTAATACTGGCTTTCAGGAATGAATTTAGGAGTAATTCTTCCCCTTCAATTTCATTAAAGATTTTAATAAGTCATGGTATTAGTCTTTCTAACTCTCTTGTAGAATTCAGCAGTGAATCTGTCAGGGCCTGGGATTTACTTTGTTGGAATATTTTTAATTATACCTTCAACTTTATTGATTGATAGTGGTTTATTTAGGATTTCTATATCTTGATTCAGCTTTGGTAATTCATATGTATCTAGGAATCTATCCATTTCTTCTACATTTTCCATCTTAATAAAATACAACTTTTCAAAGTAGGTATAGGTGATCTTCTGGTCCGCAAGGTCCCTTTTGATTTCACCCTCTTTATTCCTAATTATGTGAGTTTGAGTCTTTTCTTTCCTTTTTTTTTCATAAGGGTGTGCTGATTTTATTTAATCTTTGAAAGAACCAACTCTTCAATTCACTGATTCTTTGTATTCTTTTCTTTTAGTTGCCAATGAATTAATTTCTGCTCTGATCTTTGTAATTTCCTCCCTCATACAAACTTTTGGCTTAACCTGCTCTGCTTTTTGTAGATATTTTTTTTTTGCTCCGAATGCCTTCAGGGCAGGTTTGGCTGGCTTGAGTTGTGGGAATCGAACCGCAGCAACCTGAGCCTGACTGCTTTGTTGAAGCAGCCACTTAAAGAGCTGAGCTAAGGGGCAGGCCCCCCTTTTTTAGACATTTGAAGTTCACCCTTATGGTTCTTATTTGTACTTGCTCCATTCTGCTGATATGGGTATTCACTGCTATAAATTTTCCTCTAAGACTTTCACTGGGTCCCATAAGTTGCAATATGTTGTATTGTCATCATTTAATTGAAGAAACTATCTAACTTCTTTAATTTCATCTTTGACCCACTGGTTTTCAAGTGGGTGGTATTTAATGTCCATATGTTCATGAAGTTCTTATGGTTTCTTTTGCCATTGATTTACAATTTCATTGCACTATGGTCTGATAATATGCATGGGATAATTTCAATTCCTTTGGATTTACTTAAGCACGTTCTAAGTGCTAGTATATGGTCTAATTGTGTGTGTGTCTGTCTGTTTGTCCGTCTGTCTGAGACAGTGTCCTTCTATGCAGTTCAGGCTGGCCTTGAACTCACTTTGTAGCCCAACCTGTTCTCAACCTTGCAATGATCCTCCTGCTTCAGCTTCCCACATGCTGGGATTACACGTATGTGCCACCATGACCAGAACTCAAATAGTGTATTTTGGAGAACATCCTGTGTGCAGCTGAGAAGAGTGTGTATTCTGATGATGTGGAATAGAACACTCTGTAGACATCTACTAAGGCCATTTGTTCAAAAGTTTGGCTTGGTGCTAATATTTCATTGTTGATTTTTGTGTAGTTGATCTTTTTGTGATAGTGAGGTACCAAGATCCCTCAATACAATTGTATTAGTACTTATTTGATTTTTCATGTCTATTAATATTTGTTTTATATAGTTGGATGCATTGGTATTGGTTACATATATATTTATGATTTTATCTCTTCCACTTAGATTGCTCCCTATACAAGGATGTAGTGACCTTTTTAAAGTTTATTTACTTATTTATTTGGTACAGGGTCTCACTACACAGTTCAGACTTGTAGTGATTCTCCTGTCTCAGCCTCCCCAGTTCTGGGATTCCAGGAGTGTGCCACCACACCCAGTTTCAGGGCTGGCATGGTATGTGGTACTGGGGATTGAACTCAGGTCTTTGTGCTTGCGAGGCAGGCACTTAGACCACAGAACTATCTCCCCAGACCAACCTTCTTTCTCTCTCTTAATCAGTCTTGGATTGAAATTCACTTTGTCTGCAAATAGAATAGCTACCCCTGCTTTTTTTTTCATTCCTTTTGCATGGATTATTGTTTTCCATCCTTTGACTTTTAATCCATAAATTTCTCTTCAAATTAAATATTTTTCTTATATGCAATATATTGTTAGATCTTACTTCTTGGTCCATTCTCCTATCTCTTTAGCTTTGATTCATGAATTGATGGTTATAATATGTGTTGACCTAACCCTGCCATATAATTTCCTATGATTGGCTTCCTTTTTCCTCCCTGTTTACTTGCTTCCTTTGCCTGGTATATTCATTTCATTGGGGTTTATAGAGTTGTAGTCTTTTTATTATCTCTTTGTCCCTCAGTACACCTTGGAGTGCTGGCTTGGTGGTCATCAATATCCTCAGATGTTCTTTGTCACGAAAGTATCTTATTTCTCTATCAGTTTTGAACGATAGTCTTGCAGGGTACACCAATCTGGGTTGCAAATTGTTTTCCTTTAGAACTTGAAATAGCTCACTCTAAGCTGTCTGTGACTTGAAGGTTTGTGCTGAGAAGTCAGCTATGATTCATCGAGGCTTTCCTTCATAAGTGATTTTTTCTCTTTTCCCTAACACTTTTTTCCCATAATTTTATTGAGAAACAAATAGCAATGAGACAGTTTCAAACCAAATTGGTAGAACAGTTTCAATAATTAACACATTGCATACATTCTTCCTAGTGGTTAATTGCTGTACAAGATGCAGACATGATATCCTATTTATAAACACTATTAGAACAAATCCCTGTATTCATTAAGAGAATGTAACTATATATCTAGCCTAACCTCTTTGAATACACAGATACAAAATGGACATTCATCTGTATCCCCTTTTTTGTGAAGTTCCATTATTTGAATATTATAGGTGTGTAAACTCAGCAAAATATTCTAAAAGAGTCCAGTAGCCCATAATAGTATTGGGTCTTCTGCTTCACTGACAATGTCAGAAATTGTTGACCTGAGTCCCCTACAGCTCAACATAACACCAGGGCTTCACTTCTTATACTTCATTTTTATACTTTTCTGCTGAATGGTTAAGACCAAGGTAAAGCAGGACCTATGCAACAACAGTTGTAGCTTTTGGGTCTGATAAGGTCAGTGAAATGCCCTCAGGATTTATCCTGAGATCCTGCGCCTCAGATTGTAGAACCTTTGTCAGTGTCAGCCATGTGGATGAGTCACGGCCATTGCTTGGCCAATGTGCTCTCTATGAAAGACTGAGAGAATGTTTTCTCTCCATGTGACTCTCCTTAGGCACACTCTACATCATCGATCACTTTCCTCTTTGGCCCCATAATCTCCTTGATCAGAAAATTTGGGATACTACCGAGTTACATGACATTACAGTACAAGTTCTCATATGTCCTGAGTCTTAATTGACCTTGGAAGGTTAGGGCCAAAATGTTGGCTTTCCTTGTGACCCTCCTATTTCTCTAATTTTGGTCTGCAAACTTAGGTTGTTAACCATCCAGAAGACAACCTTATTGTTATTACCATACAACCTAGGCTGTTAAGCTTAACCTCACTATCTGTCTCAATATCCAACATCTTAGGCATAACATGGAACAGGTATTTTTCATGAAGTATTGATATGTTGAACTTTAAGCCCCTATAGAATATGAAAAAACATTTAAAAATTAGAATATATTTTTAAAAACAGGCATAAAGAATTATATACTTCTTATGTTTACATGTAAGTCCAAAAATCTAACCATATACAACCTTGAAGCAGGGCAGTCCCACAATATTCCTTTTCCTATCTCTTCCCTTCATTCACCACCCCTTTTTTTTTGAACAATCATCTACCCGAAAGATGGCACAGCAGCAACTGGCATGTCAAGACAAGCAGCCCATATTCAGAAGACCAGAATGACAGGCACTCCAAGCATGAAACTACTATTACAGATTAACACTTTTAAGATTCTATTCTTGTGTTGAATTTCTGGGATCTTGACTATGATAGACTGTAGATTTTTTTTACCATGGCTAATTGGAATTCTATTTGCCTTACTAATTTGTATGTCAAATTCTTCTTCTCTACCAGGGAAATTTTCTGTCATTACTTCTGTGAACAGATTTTTTTAATGTTATTTACACTATCTCCTGATTTTTCCTTTTTTTCTTTTGAGACAGGGTATTACTATGCAGTTCAGGCTGGTTTTGAACTCACTTTGTAGCCCAAGCTAGCCTTGAACTTGCAGCAATCATCCTGCGTCGGCCTCTTGAGTGGTGGGATTACAAGGGTGAGTGCTGGAATTACAAGTGTGAGCCACCATGCCCAGGTGCTCCTACTTCTTCATTGATTTCAATCAATCTTATGTTATTCTTCTTTACATCATCTAGCAGCTTTTGTATTGATTTTTCATGGCCCTTTGTCATTTTTAAGAAATCTTTCTTCTCATGATTGCTAACCACAATCCTCTGTCTTACATCTGATGTTCTGGCCCCACATTGGCTCATTCTACGATATATACTTCCAATAGAATTTTTAATCTTCTGGATATCTGTTTGAATCTGTTTCATGGATTCTATTTCTTTCCTATGTTAGCAATTCATGGGTTCCGTTATCTTTCTAAGCTCCCTTATATTTTTTTTTAATCTGTATCTGTTCGAGTTACTAACCATGTCTTTCATTATGGTGGCCATCTCTGTAGTTATCTAAAAAATTACTTCTGATTTGATTTTTTTCTAGACTCATTCATCTGCTTTGTTATTTCTGCTGTTATCACTTCAGAGAATCCAGGCGGTGGCTTTCAAAGTGTTCTGCCTCATGGTCCCTTAGGTTTATCTTTGGTGAGCTGGAAGTTGTGGGTTGAATCCTCTTTAAGCGACTTCTCGTTTTCTGCTATATTTTTTAGTTTAATTCCTAGATCACTGCTTATAAATTGATCATGAAAAATAGCTTTATTACTAATATTCAAAACAGTTAGGAAATGACTGCTTCTCAGAGATGTCTTCCAGGTTTAGCAGGCTTTTGGGTTTCGAGTCTGTTTCAAGATCCTACCTCTATAATTTATTGGGGACTAAAAGTTGTTGTCTACTTGTCCCAGTCTTTGCTTCTTTGGCACTGGCCTATAGCATTGTTTATAACCCTTAGGCAATCTCAGTCTTGGCATACCAGGGAGAATGACTGATGAGAGCAATTATGTCACCTTGGCTAAAGTGGTACAATCAGCAATAAAAATAGCATCAAACACAGCCTACAAAATGAAAAATCATGGTAACTACTAGTTTGCTACCCTTAATCTTGTGAACTAGATTTGCAGGTATATAACAAAATCTAAAACCAGAAAATTGTATATAATAAATATGCCTTCAATATGGTGATTTTTATCCTCAGGGGAGAAAATTTAGAGGTTAGAGGGAAAATAGAGAAATAAACATAGAAGAAGAGATTAACAGCAAATGTAGAAGACAAAGGATGACTAAGAATTTTGAAAAACTGGTAAAGAAGATAGGAGGGAAAGAGAGAAAGAAGAAATATAAACAAGAACAGAATAGAAGATTAACAAAAAACTAGAAACAATGTTCATACTCATAAAAACATAAATAAACAATCAAGAAAAAAAAAAGAAATAAACATCCACTTCAAGGTGTGTCTCTGGTGTCCCTGGTAGGCAGAGTGGGCAGGCAGAATCCAGATCCATGTTAATTAATCTCATCAAGCCAACTGTAGATTTTTGTCAGGGTAGTGGATAATCCCAGCAAGCCTGCACCTTTATTTCCACTGAAATTTGGGCTGGTTTCTGGCTGTGAGGCTGGAACCTAATTTATTCATCCTGAAATACTCTATGTGTCTCCTGGCTTGAACTTGGTCCTTGACCTCTTGCTGAGTGGAACTCAGTTCTGCCTCACCCTGACACTGGAAGTCACTAGATGGAGCCAGCCAGTTGCCCTCCCTATGGGACATCTGAACCTAAATGACTCACCAGCCTCTGGCAGCCCACTGCATCCACTGCTACATTCCACTGGTACATTTCTCCCTGGAGCCCTCTTGGGTTGCCATGCATGTGCAGGTTTGAACCGCCTCTCCTATACAGTGAGTCAGGGTTCAGGGAGAAAGCACTCTTACCACCTCCCTCTTCTGCATTGAAAGCTCTCTCTCTGCTCTCTCCATGGACTTTAATTCTCACTACAGATCCTTGCTGGGTCCCAGGGACCCATGTGCCTCATTCTTTTCTTCCTCACATTACTATATATTTCAGTATCTGGACATCAAATCTCAGAGAGGCTACATCTCTGCTGTTCACCACTCTGCCATCTTCCCAAAAGAACTTCATTTCTCTCTTTTTCTTTCTTTCTTTCTTTCTTTTTCTTTTTTTTTTTTTTTTTTTTGCAGAACCGGGGACTAAACTCAGGCCCTTGCACTTGCCAAGGAAGCACTTATTCCACTGAGTCATCTCCCCAGCCCAATCTTTTTATTCTGAAACAAGGTCTTCACAAGTGTGTAAGTTGCTCAGGCTGAGCACAAACTTGTATTTCTCCTGCCTCAGCCTGCCAGAGACCAGCTTCTTTGTTTCATTATAAAGAACTGTGAGTGCAGTTCAGTGCTCAGAAGTGAAGTGGCCCAACCCTGAGCTGTCAGGTAAGGTGGAGAAGGCAAGTCCCTCCTAGAAGTAACTTCAACAGCCATCATTTTTGTTGAGGAATGGGCAGCCATTCCTCCACAAAGGACAGCAAACAGAGCACCAGTAAGAGCACCTGCCTGCTTTGTGCACAGTGTCTGGCCTAGCAGTTCATACAGGGAACTCCAGGTAGGGACAAGGGTGAGGCAAGGAAACCAACTACTTGGAGGACTGCAGCCCTAAGAAAAGTACAATATTTTCTGCTAGGTTCAGATCATCAGGGCCCTAAATGACTAGGACTGTGAGCCATCTGCTTTTCATACACTTGGTGTTTTGTTTTGTCTTGTCTTTTGAGACATGGTCTCACTAGGTAGCACAGGCCTGTCAAGAACTCACAGGAATCCTGCTTCAGCCTCCCAAGTTCTGGGATGACAGGTGTGCACTACCATAATTGGCTGTTTTCTTTTTTGTATTTAGGATAGGGTATACAGGGTGTACAGGGTCTCATTGTGTAGATCAGACTCGTAGTGATCTTCCTGTTTAGAGCCTCCCAAGTGCTGGGATTATAGGTGCACACCACCACACCCAGTCTCAATTGCTGGCTCAACATACCCTGGGGGCAGGGCCAGCACAGCATGCCCAGGGATGGAACTCCTAGCCCCTGTGTCTAAGCAGAGGTTTTAATCCACTGAGCTATTTGGCCAGCCCTTTGGCTGTTTTTCATGCACCTTCCTATTTTTTTCCATAATATTTTTTGATAAACAAATAGCAATGAGATAGTTTCAAACCAAATTGGTAGAACAGTTTCAATAATTAACACATTGCAGGGGCCGGAGAGTTAGCTCAGTAGAATAAGTGTTTGCCTGGCAAGCGCAAGGGCCTGAGTTCAATCCTCGGTTCCGCAAAAACAAAAACAAAAACACATTGCATACATTCTTCCTAGTGGTTATTTGCTGTTCAGGATGCGGACATGATATCCTATTTACAAACTCTATTAGAACAAATCCCTCTATTCATTAAGAGGATATAACTATATATCTATCCCAGCCATTTTGAATACACAGATACAAAGTGGACATTCATCTGTATCCCCTTTTTTGTTAAGTTCCATTATTTGAATATTATAGGTGTGTTAACTCAGCAAGATATTCTAAAAGAGTCCAGTAGTCCATAACAGTATTGGGGCTTCCGCTTCACTGGCAATGTCAGAAATTGTTGACCTGAGTCCTCTACAGTGCAACATAAAACCATGGCTTTACTTCTTATATTTCATTTTTATACTAGTCTGCTAGATGGTTAAGACCAAGGTAAAGCAGGACCTATGCAACAAGAGTTGTAGCTTTTGGGTCTGATAAGGTCAGTGAAATCCCCTCAGGATTTATCCTGAGATCCTGTACCTCAGATTGTAGAACCTTTGTCAGTGTCAGCCATGTGGATAAGTCACAGACATTGCTTGGCAAATGTGCTCTCTGTGAAAGCCTAAGAGAATGTTTTCTCTCCATGTGACTCTCCTTCCTATTTACTTCAAAGGACAGCAGAACAGAAACACAGAAAAAAAAACACCTCAACCTTTAAATGAGTCTGGGGTTGACAAAAGCTGTCAATGCACCTGAAAACCTTTCAGGAGCAAAAAGACCACTTACTTGCCAGTTCAATGATTTCCATCCTCTTCCCATCAACATCCTGACCTACAAAAGCTAGGTCTTTGTGTTCAAAGTGGCTGATCAGGTTAGGGTTCACCTGCAGATGCAAGAAATTCAATGTCTTTAAAGCCCAGCACAACACAGATGCTTTGCCTTCTAACAAGGTCCATCGTCAGCTGGGCAGGTTCCCTTGATCCCCTAACTTGTACTTAAATCTCTATTTCCAAAGCCTAATCTTGTTTGGGTTTAGTTTTTTGAGACATGGTCTTGCCATTTGGTCCAGGCTCGGCTTGAACTCACTGCAATCCTCCAGCCTCAGTCAGCCAAGTGCTGGGACCACAGGTATGCGCCACCATACCCAGCCTGTTACTGTTTAGACTGATTTAAAAGAATAACAGACAGCACTTTCTGTTCTTTGCAGGTCAAAGCATCCTACTGAATACATTACCCTTGATACAGGAAGTCCATGTCCATGGACACGTATACCTCTCATATGACAATCCCAAAATTTAAGTCCTCTTAGTCATGTGACACTAATCCTTGGGCTCAATATAATCTCCCATAGAGGGTCCCCAACTTAAAATCCACCACACAAGACCAAAAAAACTGCCTTGTCCCCAAAGGTACTCAGTCCACTGTTAGAAACACCCCTTGCTTCCAACTTGAAAAGGAAGGGCCCGGGTTTAAAAGAGGCAGGCAACCCCTCAGGTAGAGGATTGCAGAGCTACAGTGCCAGGCAGAAACTAACGCTCATGGAAGGCCTACCTCATATCGATGTCTGTGTCTCTCCTCTATGAACGGGACGTCACCATACAGTTTCCCTGGAAGACACAGAAGGAGATGAGCACTGGAGCAATCGGCTTTATTACTACTACTTTTTTTCTTTTATTTTGAGACAGAGTTTTGCTCTGTAGTTCAGGCTGGCCTTGTGTTCACAACAGAGCCCAGGCTGTCCGCAAGCTGACAGCAATCCTCCTGCCTCAGCCCCCCGAGTGCTGGTATGACAGGGTGCACCACCACACCTAGCTTGGAGTGATCATCTTGGGAACCATACCATGATGCCTGCAGAGGAGGCCTCTGGGGTGTGTTTATCAGAGTTTAACAGCTGCAGACCACAGGCTTGGAGCAATAGTCTAAGGTAGTGGTGGTGAACCTGTGGCCCCTGTGCAAGGACAGCTGCTTGCTATGTTGCTGATAGCACTGGAAGGTTCAACACCTACAATATGGTGATGGAATCCTCAAAAGCCATCACCATGGCCTAAGTGGAAGCCCATGGCTGCAAAGCCTGGAGGCCAGCAGATCCACCCTCCCTGTCCACACCATTGCATCTGTGTGTACTCACACAGGGCACTCTCTAGCGTGTGCATGCATGAGAGACAGAGACAGAGACAGAGAGACAGAGACAGAGAGATATATAATTTTAAAACTATATATGTTTATTTTATATATAATATATAAGCAGGCCAGCCAAATAGTGGATTAAAGTGCCGGCAAGCAGGCGTAGGGGCCAGAGCTTGATCTCTGTTCCTGTTGTGCCCACCCCCCGCCCCGGGGCATGCTGAGACAGCAATTGAGACTGGGCGTGGTGGTGCCTGCCTATAATCCCAGCACTTGGGAGGCTGTAAATAGGAGAATCACTCTGAGTCCGACCTAGTAGTGAGA